ACCCACCACACACACACACACACACACACACACACACACACACACACACACACACACACACATGATTTAGATAATTAAATAGGGTAGAATTGACAACCACTGCTGTTCTTGAAGAAAACAATGCCAAACATGTTTGAAATAAAGACTGTACAGTGTAGCATTGGTGGCCTAGTGGTTAGGCTTCCGGACTCGTAATCGTTAGGTTGTGGGTTCGGGGGATTGAACTGCGGGCCCGACGTTGTGTCCTTGGGAAAGGCACTTTACAAAATTTTTCCTTACTTCATTCAGGTGGGAAAGGGTACCCGGCCATAGACAGCGAAAGATCTTGTCAGTAAGTTAGTGTTTTAGCGCCTATAAATGGCTGCTTACACTGCATGCTTCCCAGGAAGTTGAGGTTGTTTCAGAATGCAATCAGGTCAGCTGGGGTAATAGTATAGATTGCGAAGCGCATACAGCTTGCTGTTGAGCGAGGATTTGCGCTATACAAAGGCTATATATTATTATTATTACAGGGGACAGAGCTTGTGGTTGAGAGGGAATTAGCACTATACAAATGCTATCTATTATTACCTATCATAAAATATATGATTGTAAATGTTTTATATCCTTCTTGACAAAACATAGATCATTATGGAGGCCGGCTGCTTCAGCCCAACAACTCAGGCAGAGTGGGACACAATATCAAAGAAGACAGACAGTAACATGTGAAAGAGAACTGCCTCATCCGTTTTGTTTTGATAAGAGTTATGCGGCACTTGCAACACATTAAGGTCATATAAATGCAGAAGATTAGAGGTGTTACAAGAGAGTAACAAACACAAAAAAGAAGGAGGAGAGCTAAGGGTGATAGATGTTTAACAGGAAAGAAGGAGCAAACCACATCAGAGCACCTGCCAACCACTCACTACCCCATCTGGGAATCGAAGTCAGGTATCCAGCATGTAATAGCAATGAGCTTGACTTTTAAATCAAAGAAGCCAGTACACACTTGAGGTGTAATGTTTTGCGCGTTCGTGTATTTGGTTGAGCACATGTTTAAGAGCCTATTTCAGTTCAGAAAAAGAGGAAAATTAAAAAGTTCTTGTTGTAAAAACAACATCATTGTCTAACCCCACTTTTCCAAACCAACAACAAACACAGTGCAAAACAAAAAAACAAACAAAAAAATGTTCACGAATCAAATTTGTTTTTCGTTTGAGTAAAGAGAAGCACACCAACACAATGACGGTCATTTGGTAAGGGGAAAAAGCAGGACAGACAGACAGACTGAAACAGCAGAGGGAGAGATAAGAAACTGGAACTGCATGAGGCACCCTCCAAACACCCGGGGCAACTTTAAAACAAAAGAAACAAAACAAAACAAAACAAAAACTACCCTTTCAAAAGTCATCTTGTCAAAAGTATTCAAAGACTAGAATGCAAGTTTTTTTAAAGTCAGAACAGTTACAAAGAGAAAAGGGAGAACGCATTACTAAATAAAGAAACCACTGTGAAGAAAATACTGACTATTTTTATTTTAGAGGTGTTACAAGAGAATAAAATGCAAAGAAAAGAAGGAGGAACAACAAGGAGGATAGATGTTCGATAGGAAAGAAGGAAAGAAGAAGCAAACCACACTAGAACACCCGTCAATCACCCATACTTACTGGTTTTGCCAGGCTGACCAAGCGCAACAAGCTGGCGCTGCGGGGTATAACTTTTCCTTCCTTGTCCACCTCCTGCCCTTCCCTGTTGTACAACTTCTTCACTCGTTGTCTGGCCAACATCCTGAGCCCTAACCCGGATCCACAACTCAGCAGCAGAATTATCATATTAGTCGTTATTGTCCAAATAACACACGCGTAGTACGTCGAGTGCATCCCTGGGTAGCTGTCATTACGTAAAATCTCTTTCAGTATCAAACCTCCCTTCACGATAGAAAACGCAGCCACGGCAAACGAGAGTAGAATTGTAGCCATGAACAGTTTTTTCTGCCGCGACTTGAGAATGGTGTTGTAGCCCACATCTATTGACAGGATGAAGGTTTTCTCGGCGTAGTAGGCCAGGGTAAAATAGAGGGGACATGTCAAGAATGAGATGAGGGCTATGTCAAAGACTGACAGCACCAGGTCGTAGTGTTTTATATTCTGGATGAAATACTCCGAGTCCCCACCTGTGAACAGAAATATCCTCATCTTCAAAATCATCAACATCATCATCATCACCACAACTATGATACCAATATCTATGATATTATCATTACCACCAGTATTACAACTATTATCATCATCGTCATCATCATCACCACAATCATCATCATCATCATCATCATCATCATCATCATCATCATTATTTTTGGTACAGTTGCAAAACAGAAAAAGTCTTGCATACTGATACTATGTAACAAGAACATCGTCACACTCTAACCATGCATCCACCAATTTGCAATTGTACTTATATTTTTTAATTACTCATATTATGGACGAACATGTATGGTATGTGTATCAAAAGCGGGTGGTAAGTGGGTGCTCTGGTGTGGCCTGCTCCTTCTTTCCTATCAAACATCTGTCTTCCTGATCTCTCCTCCTTCTTTTTTTATGTATGTTACTTTCTTTTAACACTTCTGATTTCAGGCACTTAAATTACGACCTTAAAGTAATGCAAGTGCCGTAAAACTTTTACTAAAACTAAAAGGTATATCAAATATTGTTTCCCCTTACCTGTGAGCCACAAGACAATCGTCACCACCGAGCAGAGGAAGACGACGACCCTGAAGACAACGCTGAACCGGAGCAGCGGGTACTCGTAACGAAACTTGACCGCACCCTCGTCTGCGTCCGTGGTCCCGTTAGGTGAGCCAGTCAACACCTCGTCGTTGGGTGCCGTTGAATGATCCATGGTGGAGTTGCTCTGAACATGCAAGTGCTGTTCATCTTCCTTACGGCCGCCCCCAGGACCCATCTTGAGCAACTTTACGTCAAGCACTTGCGGGTTCTTTATAACAGAGTCCTCAGAGTGGTTCACTGATCCGTTGTGTTGGTGAAACTCTGAACACAAAAAAAAACAAATAAATATGTACAATATTGGTTGTGTGTTTTTATCCCTCTCCTCCTTCTCTTCTTCCACTTTTCAAATAAAGTAAGACAAACAGGTGTCAAACAACCTTCTACAGGTGGTGCTGCACTTTCATGATGACAGAGTGAGTGTAGATTGTATTTCTATGATCATAATCAAATGTTTTATCTGGAGCAGACATTGGTGGTCAAAGTTCTCCATCCCCCTCTTTCATTCAAGGCCCTCATGAATGAGTTGGGGGGCTCTCGTGGCCTAGAGGTTAAGGAGTTCGCCTATCATTCAAAGGTCCTGGGTTCGAATCTGGATAGCAACAGAAAAATTTTCTTCTCTAAAAATGTATTGTCTCCTTTCACCTCCTTTCCGGCTCTCTAGCAAAGTTCAGTCATCTGTTTTCGTCTCCGCTTTCTGCCCTCACCCCTCACCTCCTTTGCCCCCTCCTCATGGCTCCTGACTCTTTCTGCAGCCTTTCTACTGCTACTCCTTGACTCCTTCTAACTGCTGTCTTTCAGCCACACCCCTGGTCTTCTGGTAGGAAATATCTGCACCTAGCCTTCTCCGACAAGGGCGAAAAATATCTGAGGGCCCGGGTGCAAGTTGCGCATATCAAAGATCCCTCTGTGGTCTAAAATCGATAAGAGTTGGTTTCGGCCGCCACCCGGGCAAAATTCAAAATTTCCTACAAACTGAAAATGTTTGGTGTGTCTCGGCGCTCATATGACCTTATACAGTTGCGAGCGCCGTAAAACACTTACCAGACAAACAACAATTTTTAATGAATGAGTGATTGCTCATTGTGTTGTCAGTTGCACAGGTGTTTAGGATATGTAAGAATCTTGTTCGTTTGTATTCCATACTTAGTTGTCTCAAGATATGGTTTTTTTTAATATGTAAGGAAAAAGCTAATCTTCCACAGTTTACAAGGACCTCAACACTGTGCCTCCATATCTTTTCCCCCTCATCGAAAAAAAAAACCCCAACTGAATCAATCCAATCAATAAAAAATAATCTTGTCTACTACGTCACCGTAATATTCATTTACTTATCTATGTACAAGTAGAAATAAAGTGAGTAACGCCATAGAGTGCTCTGAGGAAAATCAAGATGAGAAACACGAACCCCAGTAAAGGCTGAGGAGAATCACAAACCCCACTAAAAATGGAGGATGATATACAAAGGAAAAACAAGAGCCCCAGTAAAAAGCAAAGGAAATTTATACAGAATGAGAAACATGAACACTGGAAAAAACTTGAGGAAATGCAAGATGAGAAATATTCCAATGTCTGTGGTCTACTATTAGCATCCTCCAACAAGCTGACTTGAAATCTTTCGAAATTAGCAAATACATCAGTTAAAAATTATTTCTGTTCTCTCAGAACAGTTGATGGAAGACCACCTTAAAACTATAGTAAAAAAGCAGTCATTTCCACCACTCACATAAGTAGTCAGCAGAGGGCACTGTCAAACAGATATTTAAAAGCCACTAAAATGATGATGAAATCATCAGTATAATTGTAAAGCACCTAGAACCTGCGTTCTTGTAAGAATATGAGATATGTGTATTTATAAATGAAATCTATAATTATGACTATGACTATGACTATTATTATTATTATTATTATTATTAAATCAACACTAACATTAATATTAATACACATGGATTATTATGATTATTATCATCATTATTATTATTATTACCATACTGTTTTGAAAAAATTGTTGAACAATTGTTCCAAATAAAGAAGACCATTGGAACACAGCATACTCATTTCATGAAGGAAATAAGAGTGTTTATCTAACCTATGGCAATTGATTTTTATTTTCTGACATTGGTACACCCATACATTGTAGGCCTACTTAGAAATATACAAGTAGGAGTAAAACAAAGCAAATGTATTTCTATTTTCAAAAGATTTTCAAATTAATTGCGCAGGCCATGTAGATTTATTAAAAGTTACAGCATCAACAATTTCAAATTTTTCCATTGATTATCATAATTATGTTGAACCTTACACAAGTTCCTCTGTAAAACAGCAAGAAACTTATCAACCACAAAAAAATATGCCAAGTCACATAGCTGAGAAGGTCATGTCTCAACTCTCTTACAAATCTCACCTTTAGTCTCCATCACACTTTATCCTTAACAAACAATTGAGGTGATAGACAAAACAATTTTAGTCTGGTCTAAAACTATGAGGGATGGCTAACTATTTCTATTAACAGCTGCAACAAGCAATTAATTAAAGGCACCAGCAAAAATGACTCAAACTAAAAAGTTGAAATTTGTTACAGGAGGTTATATATACTGTTTTTCAGGGTTCAAATGTTATCTCCAGTGCACAAGCAAAGTAAGGAGCCCTTATCAGAAAACCTTATTTAACCTCTTTCTTTTTTTTTTTTTTTGCAGTGCAATTTTTAAATGGAACTGGGTCGCAAAAACCAAGACCTCTTTTCTCCTGCGAAAGATATGAGAAGAAATTGTTACCAATAGATAAAGAACAGTAAAAAGAGACAAAGTAACACTGCGACGACTAATACATTGCTATGAATTCAAGAGATGAAGAAGATGTGTCCCTACATTTTGCAGTTGTAGTTCCTTTCAAGGAATGCTGATTAAAAATGCACCTCACTGAGAGCCCAATGCACTTCATTTCATAAAGTAAGTTTTTATGGCCGTAGTTATTTAAACATTACTAAATGTCATTAATATTTACACCAACCAATGTGTTACTGAGTTCTACAATGTGCTACTGAGCATTATATTACTGCACTTTCTACAACTCACTAAGCCTACATGTACATGTAATTCAATTTACATTTAGAAGAACCTTTTCCTTTTCATACAATTTTCTATCAGATTCAACATTTTTATCACACAATTGGAGCACTCTTTTTCAAACTGATGTATCATTGTATGTAACATGTGAGAGTAAAGCAAACTGAGTTTTTATTGTGATGGGAGCTATTACTCCGCTGGGCAGTATGGGCTCACATTTTGCTTGTAACAAGCCAAGAGTCAGTAATTTTTTTTTTGCGAGACTGGACAGGCACAGCACATGTCTGTGGGGCAAAAAGCCAAACAAAAGGTTTCTAAAAATTCAAAACTGAAGCGATAGTATTCCTACAAGTCAAATGTGAAAGCATGATGTAGAATCCAATATGACCCACAAAATTCTTTCACTTTCATAAATATCTACCCCAACTCCCCAGCAGCAGTCCCAATAAGATGACTAATATGATGTATTCATTAAAATTTTCAAAATATAATAACTTTTACAACAGTGGTATTATAGAAAAGAATCTTGTCATTCAAAGAAACTAACTTCTACTTGGCTGAAAAATTATCATTTAGTCCTCCCCCCCCCCCCCCCCCCCAAAAAAAAAGTTTTTTAAATTAATAAATAAAAAATCATGGCACAGATGCAGGAAACTAATGACAGGTGTACAAAGAGTCCAATAGAACCTGATATTGTCACAATATGTTTGTTGTTTTTTTCTCACAAAACCTTGACCTCATAAAGACATTTCCTCATCTAACCTTGACATTTTTACTAAATAATGCTGTAGCAACAAAAACAGACAATTACCTTTTCATGAACTTGAAGGGTACACATGAATAATTAGATACTCAATGAATTGAAATAAACAGTTTCAGAAAATTCCTTTCTTATCAAATGCATATTATTCAATGTACCCTGCACAAGTAGCCAAAGTTTCCCTAGAATTAGGGCCTACATGATGAAATGGCAGGCTGCAACAGGTAAACAATCAGTGTATTTGAATGTTTCAATCAAACAAAAAACCACAATCCCTTTTCACGTCACCTCAATCCAACAATGTCATTTTCAGCGAGAAGTGTTGAGCGACAATTTACTTGCAATAGCAGTGTCTTTTGTTCATCATTCTATCGTTTTTTAGTAGCCTGCCGAGGGTAGAGCTCTTTCCGGCCATTAGACTCCCAGGTGAGAGCAATTATATTGAAATAATTGATGGTGTTCCAAAAAAAAGGAGAAGAATATATATATATATATATCTAAACAAAACCTTGAAAATCTTGAAAATATTCTTTAAAGAAAAGACAAAGCATTCTTTGAAAGATAAAATTCAACCTAACATCAAAACTTGCCTTAACAAACAATAGCCCAACTTCCTACAGTTGTTGTACAAAACTTAAAATGAAGACAATGATTAATTAGTCATTCAGTTTACTGTGGCATAACTCAAAAACAGGCATCATTATCACATTTACAGTACGCCCTATATTTGAAAAGAACAGAAACTTGTCACCAATAAGCGATGAAGTACATTATGTAGTCCTGATGCAAGAAGTATGGAAGATTACATCTGCTTTTACCTACTCACATTTTTTTCTGTTCCTGGAAATTAAAACCAGTACTATCATTGAATGTCAGCATGATTAGTACTATATATATACCATATCAGTTTCAAAGCCGATCTATAAGATAAAAAAGTCAGTCCCGAATTGTAATCTCTATAAAAAAGTTGTATAGATAATAATGTTCACTGTTTTTACTAATCTTAATGCAAACTTTATAGGACAAATTGTTGTGACCGGCGCAAGAATCAAACTCATTGCAAGTTACTTGTGTTTACTTTTTCTATGCCAAAATGTAAGGCCAAATACCTCATCAGACTTGGCAATTCTGTAAAATGTGTGTGGCTGAGCACAAAATATAATCTCAAATCACCCTTTAAGGTGTTGTGACGGAGAGATCAGGAGGGTAATTAAGTAGTGTTAACAGTAATTCAACGAAAATTTAAAAGCTTTAAAAACAAAATGTCTACACAAAATTTTGTTTAAAAAATGGAATGAATTTCTCAGAAATAATGAAGTGTTGGAAAAAGCTGGGATTGAAGATATATACTACAACCATAAAGAGGAGAAGAGAGAGACATTTGGGACATGTTTTGAGAAGGGCATAGATTATTTATGCCCCACTCTTTTTTTTCTTTTTTTATTTAGTAAGTGTTTTACGGACCTCGCACTGCATTAGGTCGTGTGATCGCACAGGACACATTAAACATTTTCAGTTGGTAGGAAATTTTGAATTTTGCCCGGATGGCGGCTGAAGCCTACTTTTATCAATTTTAGACCACCAAGGGATCTATAACATGCACTACTTGCACACAGGACCTCCAAGATCTTTCGCCCTTGTCCGAGAAGGCTATCTATATCTTTCCTACCAGAAGATCAGGGGGGGTGGCTGAAAGACAGCAGTAAGCATTAGGAGCCAAGGAGAAGCAGTAAAAAGGCTGCAGAAAGAGTCAGGCACCCGGAGAAGGGGGAGAAGGAGGTCTCTCTCTCTCTTTCTTCTGGCGCTGAGGCGTCATAAACAGTCAGCGATGCCGACAGCACGCAGGAACTCAACACTTGCCTTGGGGGTCCTTAAAAAGTGCTGAAAGTGGGTAACTGAATTGTCGCAGCAGACAGGTTCTGGAGGTGAGGGGGTGGGGGCAGAAAGTGGAGACGAAAGCAGACGACAGAACATTGCAACAGAGCAGGAAAGTGAAAGGAGACAATTTAAGAGAAGAAAACTTTTCAGTCCCTACCAAGATTCAAACCTAGGACCCTTGATTGAGATGCGAACACCTAAAACCTCGAGGCCAGGAGAGCCCCCATGCCCTATTCAGTCATGGTACTGAGGACCAAAACGAAAAGGTAGAAGAGGTAGACCAACTGAAAGCTATAGGAGGAGTAAAATCAGAAATAAAGCAATCACCCATGGTTGTTACTTATGAAGTGATCTTCATCACATATTGGTCAGACCATATATAAGAAAATGAATGTGTTTACTTATTGACTGTCTCAAAGAGAAGCTGTAGTGTAAGTATTATAATTTTTAGTTTGTTGCTATTACAGTAGAAAAGGCCATTCATCTAAAAAAAAAAATTTGCAAAAAATGTGGTAAAACAGGATGGAAGGGGCATCCCCCCTCCCTCCCCACCCCCACCCCCTCGCCTCTGAGTGGTCCAAAACGAGGAACTTAATACGCAGTTAGGCTTAGTGTAAAGAGTTCAAAATATTCAAATAAAAACAAGAATCAAATATTCCAAAAACAGTTCATTTGCGAGGAATATAAAGTCGATATTCGTGTAAAACGGAAGAAAATAAAACAAGAAAAGGGATATATTATAGACCTACTGGCTGCTATATATAGAGTCTATATATACAGTACCTGAGCATGAAACGGTGGTGAAAATAAATTTTAAAATAATGCCACAGTTTTAAAATTTAAGCCAAAGCAATCAGTGAATGAAGCCCTTTCTGTTAGGCCTACTGTTAGCATTTGTTTTTTAAATAAATGATATAGATCTAGATCTAGATGAGGCTATAAAATTCGGCATTTTCATTGATATTGAACCGCCTAGACCTAGTCATGATGACATATGATATTTAGTATAGATCTAGATTCTAGATCTACATTGATATAGAATCTAGTCCACTGACCTGTGCCTGTGTCAAGATCTAGGCCTCAAAAGTGTGACAGAAGATGATAGGCCTAGAGCCCTTTATAGGACTGAGCTTGGTTTGGTTGATGAGTCAGACACAAAAATGAATGTTCTGGATTCAAGTCCTAGATATAAGTCCTGAACCCAGAGTCTAGGCCTATCATGGCCTGTGACTCCAGTGGCGATGAGAGGCAGCGGCCAGTAGAATCACTTTCTAATTTTAACACAGTGCAATAGTCAATGGGATGACTCAATCATCAATGCATAAAGAATTCAATGGGCAATGCTCCTTTCGCCGCTGTTACTGAGGTACGTTAATAACAAAAAGGATAAATGCCCTACCATCCTTGCTGTTGTTGTCAATGACTCTTACTCAACAACTCAACACCACCCACTTTTTGAACTCTTTTAACCTTTCTCTTTCCATCATCCGCCGGGTCAGACAAAAACCAGTGATCCTTTATATACTATGTTTTTACCTTGATGTACCGGAACAGAAACGCATCGCGGTTGAAAGACTTGGAACGAAGCCTCAAGTCAATTTTTGAGACCGTTTGCCTGATTATATTTTTATTATTCGTTTTTCAGAAAGACCAAATTGATTTCAGTGGTAATAGTTCTAATGGTATGAACTTCTTATTCCAAATGCTTTTTTACATGTGTGCGAGATAAAGTAAAATACTGAGGGAAAAAAATGTGATTTCGTAAATTCGTCGCATCTCTTGCAATTTCTAACCTATACATCATATCATGATAAATTTGATATTGATAAATTTATCGCCCACACAGTATTTGTCGCATTAGATCTATATCATAATTTCATTTTGTTCGTGAGAGATAGATTTTACAACTACATGTGCTGGCGCGCGCGCACACACACACACACACACACACACACACACACACACACACACACACACACACACACACACACACACACACACACACACATACATACATACATACATACATACATACACACACAAATAAACACACAAACACACACACACACACACAGACATACATACATACACACACAAATAAACACACACACACACACACACACACACACACACACACACGCAGGGCCGCGTTAACTAAGTGCGGGGCCCTAGGCTGTCCAAGAGCCGCGGGGACCCTCGATGACGTTGATGCTACTTCTGTAAAACGTGATTAGATGTAGGCCTACCGGTATACACCAATAATATGGATTAAGTCGACGACAAGCACATTTATAGATCTACTTCTGTTACAAAGCATGAGGCAGTCGAAACCTAGCGGCAGCAGCCACAACAACAGCAACAGCGGTAGCATCAACATCCTTCTCATCAACATCAACAACAACAACAACTGTAAAAACAACAGCAATACAAATAACAAACAACAACAACAATTCAACAAGAGGACAATTTTTTTTTGTTGAAAAAATTTTGCAAGCGCGGGCCCCTTGAGGCGCGGGGCCCTAGGCCACAGCCTAAACAGCCTTACGGGTAACGCGGCCCTTTTTTTTTGTTGAAAAAATTTAAAAAATTTCACACACACACACACACACACACACACACACACACACACACAGCCTAAACAGCCTTACGGGTAACGCGGCCCTGCACACACACACACACACACACACACACACACACACACACACACACACACACACACACACACAAACGCGCGCGCGCACGTTATAAATGTATAAAAGAAAAGTTTGACTAACGTTGTAAGTGATTGACGTGGCCGTGACGCGACTCAATGCTGTACCATGTTGTGATATTACAGTAGGAGTAGGCTGATTGTTCCTTTTTTTTTAATGAACGATAAACGTCCACTCGATAGAAAAGAGTGGCAGATTTCTCCGTCCATCGGGTTCCTCGGGCAGTATCCGCCTCGCTAAACCAGTGGGCACAAGGCCGGAGGAAAAGCTGAGAACAGATACTACACTTTGATTTTCAAGGCGTAGGCTAAGCCTTCACCCAAAACAAAAGGTGAACGCAGTTTAATATATATATGAAATATCTTTGGATTTTCTAATCATTGCTTTTTCTCGCTGAAGAGTGAATAATAAGAGTAAGTGCCAGCTTGTATTATAATTTTTCAACTCAAATTAATTTTTGGCAAGTAAAAAGTCTTGTGTAAAACCCTCAAACCCATTTTTTAGTACCGGTAGGGAACAAGCAGAAGTTCTAATAGAGGAATGATATGTTGTAAGAAATTTAGCAGAACCAGATTTTTCGTAGACATTTTGTCTAGATATATTAGATCTAAAATCTAGATCTAGATCTAGATCTAGATCTAGATCTAGACTAGATCTAGATCTACACAATTCTACACTTGTGTAGAATTCTGTGGGTATACCTTGTTTTATACGTTTGATCAGGTTTGATTGACAGACACTTATATTATCTGGCTGTCCAACCATTGCGAGTGTAAACAAAACAAACATTTTCAACTTTCACTTTCAACATTTGTGTCGAGAATTTGATTCATCATTGTTGAGTGCTGTTGTAGCAAGGGGGAAATTTATTTTGTTCTTCTGTGAGTTGGGCAAGGGTGTCAGGGTTGTATAGAATCTAGATTTAGATCTAGATTCTAGAATCTAGATCTAGATCTAAACTGTGTTCTCTTTAGCGTGTCCTTTTGATCTAGAATCTAGATTCTACATCTAGAATCTAGATCTAGATCTAGATCTAGATTAGATGTTCGCCTCTCATTCAAATTTCCTGGGTTCGAATTAGACTTTAGATCTAGATCTAGATATCTAGATCTAGATCTAGATCTAGAACTGGATATCTATATATATCTAATATCTAGATCTAGATTTAGATATAGATCTAGATCTAATTTTTCTCTATCCGTGGTAAAATTAAAGTAATAAAATATCGGAAGGACTTCCGTAACGAGCGACCACCCCATCAAACACAATAAAGAAGAGGCCTAATCCTAACCCTAACGCCTAACCCTAACCCTAACCCAAACCTTAACCCTAACCCAAACCCTAACCCAAACCCTAACCCTATCCCTATCCCTAGATCTACCCCTACCCCTAGCCCTCAATTCTGCTCTGTCTCATAGTGGTCGCTCGTTACGGAAGTCCTCCCAAAATATCTAATTCACTGAGCCTGATGAGGTAATTTCAACATTACGTTTAAGTTGATGATTACGGGACAGAGTGATAAGAGGAGCCAGTAGGAGTTATAAATATAACATGCCTCTAAGGCACTCGTGATGCCATTAATAACTGAATAGACCATCGCTTTAGACTTTAGAAGAGCAGCCGGAGATTTTGCGTACTTTAAATACTGAGCTCCCTTTGCGCAATTCGAAATTCGAAGCACAAGGGGATATATATGACATGCGATTAAACGTAGAAAGGCGCAAACTATTTTTAGGTACGGCGCCCATCTTGTTTGATGTCACACCAGGATTCCCCTCCGATCACGTGACTACATCTAAGTATAGCCTACCGCATGGCACAAAAGATGGAAGTATCTCTATTTTATAACGCTTAATTTACACTACGTTCTCGGAAGTTCTGATGGCCGAATAGACTTGCGTGTCTGCGTTTGAAGTCATGCAATGATTTTGGGAGCGGTTCGATTCCGGTCCCTGACTATTTTTTGTTTTTCTCTTTTCCTCCTCCTGACTGACCGACAGTCTCATAAATTATAATTTGTAGAGCTGCTTTGAAGTTTGTTTGTTTTTTAATGTATATTAGTGATGAAGAATGCAGGAGGGGGGGGTTGATCTAGATCTTGTCCTCCAGCGTCTTTACGGCAATTTTCGTGCACTTCCATCTTTAGTACCATGCGGTTGGCTATACTTAGATGTAGTCATGTGATCTGAGGGGAATCCTGGTCTGACGTCAGACAAGATGGGTGCCGTACCTAAAAATAGTTTGCGTCTTTTTATGTTTAATGGCATGTATATGGGTACCCACCACTGCTTCAAAGAGTAAATTTTTACTTTCACTCCCATACACAGATGCACTGCTTCGGGGGTCAAACTGCAGTACTGTTAGCTGCAGATCACACATAAAGCCACTAAAACTGTTGCAAATCAATTATTTTCAAGAAAATTTCAAATTTAACTCTGTAAAATATCAAATTATGGGTTAAAACAGGGAGGCATGCCTGTCCCTGGAACCCCCCAATTGGTCCAAAGCACGTCCATCTCGATTAAGAACTATCAAATATTTCAAAAACTATTAATTTGTGACGGAATGAAGTTGATATTCGTGTTCAGCACATCAATATTTAGTAGAAAATGGACAACTGGTAGCTAAGTGTGAGACGGGAGGGAAAGTAAAACAATACCCTTCGAAGCGCAGCGGCGAAATGGTACCCACCACCGCTTCGAAGCTCACCGAATGTGGGTTTTTTTTTTGTATGCTGGCATACTTAACTCCTCTTGTCTGATGCGATATATTCACAGTGGTGGTGGGTGGACTAAAATTTGGGTGGGGCTTAGGTTGCTTCCAGTTCTTTACCACCAAATAGCAAGTAATAAGAACCAAACAGTGATGATTTTTCTATATACTCACAGTGAGCCACAACAGTTTGAGAACCATTCAAACGAGAAGAGTTGCCTTTGTTTTCCATCTCTTTGTTCTTAGTTAAATTCTTGTTGATGGTGGGGACGAAGCCGATTCATCTCCAAATTTCCTCTTATCAGTTTTCGTGTGATGAAAAAGTTGCCTTAAAAGTAGTTTGACCTGATTTATAACTGTTAAATCTCAGCGGCACAAACACAAACATGCACACACAGCACTTCAAAATTAATACTTCTACTATGAGCTGAATTAGGCAGTGTAGTCGAGAAAGTTGAACGCATCCAGAAAAGAACCAATGAGCGCTTAGGTAGGCTATCTGTCAGTGGGGGGAAAGTGTGTCGTAAACTTTCACCCCATTGTCAGGGCTAGGAGAGCGTGAGCCCTCGGTACAGTGTTATTTTTTCCCAGTCTTTTACCTTTTTACCCGAAGAGTTTCATTAAGGACGGGCTGTGGGAAAAGGGCTCATCTTCTATGAGCCCTAAAGACATTTGATTGGCTGCTGGGTTACTATAGTTGTAAGCGGTGATAACAGTGATTGGATAAGCGAGCAAGCCGCTAAGTTGATCACTCTGTGTTCATTGCGTGAGGCATAACGGTTTCAACTGCTTATTTCATTATGGAGAAACTTTCATTTACTTTGGGACTGAATTGGGGCTGGTGGGTGGAGAAGGGGAAGGGGCTCAAGCCCGTGAGCCCTGCACTACCCACCGCCAATGTATATTCGAAGTGTAGTGTAAGGCTATATGGGTACCCACCACCGCTTCGAAGCGCAGCGAATGTTGTTTTTTTTTGTATATTGGCACACTTAGTTCCCCTTGGACAATATGATTGGAAGCAAAAGGCTTATATGAGAAACCACAATCGCTTCGATGCGCAGCGAATGTTGGGGTTTTTGTTATGTATTGTAGGCTGACAGACGCACTTAGCTCCCCTTGTACAGTTCGACTCGACATTCGAAGCACAAGGTTATAAATGTTGTGCTGTGATGTCATCGCATCGCGGGGCGGTGTGTCGTGCGTGATTAGAGCCAGTCGTGTTTTTACCACAAAGAAAAAAAAAGAATCAGCCAGCCACCATAGCCTATGAGGAGATCATCCAAAAGGTTTATACAGTTTGAGGGTAGGCCTAGGTGCTGTGGGGGGATGGCAGGCGGGGACTAATGAAATGAGAGAGTGAAGAGTACAGTGGAGTCCTCTTATAACGAGTCCTGAAGCAACGAGAAGTCTGTTATAAATACACTTCTAAAACCCTGTTTTTTCCCATCTTTATCTTTGTAAATAAAATACTGCTATTGCGCAATCATGCAGTCACGCGAGTCGGTTATAACGGAATAGTGCTGCTGCTGTGCACAGCACACAGACCAATTTCACATATAAAACCTCGCCAGTTGAAAAAGTTATTGGTGATCCAGCCAAACAAAGAATGGAAGAGCCCACGCGAACCAACAATGAAGGCCGGGGCGAATGAGTGGGGAGGGTGTGGCATGCGCAGACAAGCAGAACGCATCGCGTGATAGGCCAGCCCAGTCTAGATTATCTAGGCATACCGTGCCTCTCACTTCTGTGGTGAGGGATGTAGAGGTCACAATGCTGTGATAGATGAAGTGAATGTGTGACGTGAGCAAGCAGACGCAACGCACCACAAGGTGTGGTGGGGTGGGGGACAACACAGCGGGCGAGTTAGCCTAGAGCCAGAGCCCCTTCTTTCTGATCGCCAACGCCGAGCTGTCAATATTGCTAGGGCAAGAGAAAGAAACCTGATTTGATTTTTGATCAAGTAAGACCGTGAGATCATGTTGAACAAAATCACTAGGGGAAATACAAAAAGGAATAAAGAGAACACCAAACTCATACATTAGGCCTACTTTACTATTTCCCTTGAATTTATTACTGGATCCCTTACAACGAGAATCCTGCTATAACGGACATTTTGCACCGGTCCCCTCCCTCTCGTTAACAGGATTCCACTGTATTATAAGGGGTGCTGGCAAGGATAAAAATACACTTTACACACTTCGCTGTTACACTCACATTGCCCTTTGTCTCAATCTCTATTCCATTGTCTGTGCTCTCTTACTTCATGGCTGCATTGTTGATTGTTGGAGTATATTCTGTTCCCTTGCTTTTGTCCTTTTTAGACCGGTTCTTTGATCGCTGCACTGTTGTGTAATTTTTTAGATTGCAGTGTCCTTCAGACTGCAAATTTACATTCCATTTCTGTTTTATTTGTTCAGAATTATAGGCATAATTTGTAGTGTTATTATTAGGCCTATTATGCTGCCAACAGAATTCTCTTGAACCTTTTAACCCTTTATTGCTTGAAGTCTTTGCTTATTTTATATGCAAATCTGTGCAGTTAAATTTAGTGTGATTTGATCAAATTGTGCCATATCAAGCAAACGCACGGGAAGTATTGTTTGGCAGTTATTTTAGGAATAACGAAATATTAAGCTACCAATTAAATTTTTTTAACGCCAAAAGGCAATACATGTACAACCGAGCTAACGGCAGTGTTGTGCGACGCAGCGACATTGTGCGTGTGTGTTAGATCTATCGCTCGCCGCTCGCTCGGTAAAAAGTATTCCTCTTGTCCAAGTCCCTCCTCCTCCCCCCCCTCCCCCTTTTTTTTTCAAAGCAGACACTAGACATGAGTGGTCACCTGTTTTTGTCATTCCCCTTTGCAACAGTCACCTTTTTGTTATTTTTTTAAAAAACCCAAAGAAACCAATGTTTCATCACTGCACTCGATGCGCAAGCTGTGGATGCTATACATAAAGAGGCAGACACACACTGGGCTGAGAATCACTGGATGAATACAATGTAGTGCTGTGGCTGTGAATAGTGAATATATTCAACAAAGAATGCTGATGATAAACTCATCATATTAGGCCTCGCCTTAGGCCTACATGTACATGTATTTTTAAATAACTATTCGCACACGGTATTTGAATAGCACGAATAGTGACATTGCTCTCGGAAGCTTTGATGATTTTTTGAAAACTCAAAATCGCACAGTACTAGTTCGAATGGCCGAAAATTTTACTTCTCTAAAATTGTCTCCTTTCACCCCCTTTTCTGCTCACTAGCAATGTTCTGTCGTCTGCTTTCGTCTCCACTTTCTGCCTCATCTCCTTTGCCCCCTCCTCTGGGCTCCCGAATATTTCTGCAGCCTTTCTACTGCTACTTCTTGGCTCCTTCTACCGCTGTCTTTGAGCCACACCCCTGATCTTCTGGTAGGTAAGATCTATACCTAGCCTTCTCGGACAAGTGGAAAAGCCTCGGAGGTCCCGTGTGCAAGACACGCACATTAAAGATCCCTTGGTGGTTTAAAATCGATAAAATTAGCTGCGGCTGCCACCCGAGCAAAATTCAAACAACTGGAATGTGTAATGTGCCCCGCATGCTCATATGACCTTATGCAGTTACGATCGCCGTAAAACACTTACAATACAAACAACGAAAGGGAAAGGACGTCTGATAAAACAGTTCCGTATGACTACACTGAGTAGACTAAATTAACGAAGTGGCATCGGTGGCCATGGCCTAGTTAGTGGAGGCTCTAGCTCGGACTGGAAACCAATTAGTGTAATATAATGTTGTTCAAATAAAACATATATATCTCAAAAATGAATAATCTGCAACGGATATAAAGTCAAAATTTGTGTTTAACCAGATATAAATAAAAGAACAAGAAAAGCGCTATACAACAAGATAGGCTACCTGATAGTAAAATAATTTCATTTTTTCTTAAACATGATGAGCTCATTTCAAACAGAGCAATCAGTATGTTTCATGGGAGACTTTTTATATGTCCATTATTCAATTAGGGCGCAACTATCATAGGGCAGGGGATTAACTCAATGAGCTACATGCACACGTAATGTGCCATGTGCAGGCCTGCCACATTGTCAAAACCCCTGTTCGTGGTTACTTGTGGCAAGGGAAACTACCCATGAATAAATACAGTGGGTTAGCCCACAAAAGCTTACTTCCCTTGCATTTCTGATTTAACAGGGATCCGATATAACAGGACTTTTTCTCAGGTCCAACCATCCCTGTTATATCAGGTTTCCATTGTACTTCTTTTATTTGAGTGTTTATTTTTTTTAATGATCACCACTTACCACTTTTATGATAAAAACACAATAAATAGACTTTGTGTGTTCAGTTTCTTATTCACACTTGTCTGTTCTGAGGTGGAAGGCTTTAAAAGAATATTGGTCTGATAAGAAGGATCTGCTTTACTCCTGGTTTGGGGAATAACCCTCTCCAAGCATTTAGTTTAGTTTTATATATATATATATATATATATATATATTTATCATATCTGTCAGCCAGCTGTTCAGTTATATAAACCAAACCCCAAATTTAACCTGAAAAATTGTTGCACTTTCTTAATCTGTAAACATAATATAAGTAGCAGCATGTGCTTGAGAAATATTGTTTTTGAAATCTAAATTTTTAATGTTGAAAAAAAAAAATGCTACTTCTAAGACATGGAACCTGTGTACATGCATGATATTGACCTGTATATAAACGGAAGATGTAAATCTTAATATCGTTCAAATATCTATAAAAAGGTTCATTAAAATGCACGTCACTGAATGTTATAGTTATAAAACTTTATTTTAACCAATTTATTTATAATTTATACCAAACTTGTTCATGTCTTTGTTGACAGATCAAAATGTCGGAAAAGGTCAACTTGCAAAAGTGGGATGAGTCCAGCGATGGTCGGCTGACGAATGCAAACATGAAGAAGAAACTGGAGTCCATGGGCTACCGAACTTGCCGGTACATGTTTTCACCAGGCACGGACTTCCCAGACCACACCCACAACATTACCAAAATGGACGCCATCACCTCCGGGAGATTCCAGATGGGCATGTACGGACAGACTCTTGTGATGGAGCCGGGTGACATTCTTGAGGTGCCGAAGAATACGGTGCATAATGCTAAAGTTGTTGGTTCGGAAGATGTGACCTTCTTTGATTCTACGAAGTAAGAAGAGGCGATTCATGGACAGTGGGGGTGGGTGGACCAAAATTTGGGTGGGGCTTAGGTTTCTTCCAGTTTTTTACCACCAAATAGCAAGCAATAAGAATTAAACAGTAATGATTTTTCTATACTCACGGTGAGCCACGGCAGTTTGAGAACCATTCAAACAAGAAGAGTTGCCTTTGTGGGGACGAAACCGATTCACCTCCAAATTTCCTCTAATTAGTTTTCGTGTGATGAAAAAGTTATAACTGTTAAATTTCAGCAGCACAAACACAAACATGCACACACAGCACTTCAAACATAATACTTCTATGAGCCGGATTAGGCCGTGTAGTCGAGAAATTTGAACGCACTCAACAAAGAACCAATGAGCGCATAGGTATCTGTGTCAGTAGGGGAAAGTGTGTCGTAAACTTTCACCCCATTGTCAGGGCTAGGAGATCGTGAGCCCTCGGTACAGTGTTATTTTTTCCCAGTTTTCTACCTTTTTACAAGAAGATTTCATTAAGGACGGACTGTGGGAAAGGGGCTCGTCTTTGCTGAGCCCTAAAGACATTTGATTGGCTGCTGGGTTACTATAGTTGTAAGCGGGGACAACAGTGATTGGATAAGCGAGCAAGCCGCCAGGTTGATCACTCTGTGTTCATTGCGTGCGGTCATAACGGTTTCAACTGCTTATTTCGTTATGGAGAAACTTTCATTTCTTTGGGATAGAGTTGGGGGTGGTGGTTGGGGAGGGGGTAGGGGCTCAAGCCCGTGAGCCCTTCACTACCCACCGCCACTGTTCATGGATTCTTTTTCTATGATAATAGCCATAATACAATATAACACGGACAGTGATAGGTCGAACATGGAAAACTTGAAATCATGCATCCGTCAAACTGTGCCTGTGGTCCCTTTTTTTTTTTTACTCTTTGTAAGATATCCCTCGAACTACCGAGGCCGGTCCCGACGAATTCAAGCTATCTGTGTTATACTGTAATTAGTTTTTGTAGGGTGAATATTTCTCCTTAATAGTTGCTGATTCTGTACAATAAAACAATCACCTTCTCTTAGAATTTGAGAAGTTACAGTAACAAATTATAATGATGATGATGGAATGATTTTATATGAGCTTAACAATAATATTTCTCACTTATGGGCCTGGTTAAGTAAGACATATATTTTGCTTACCCACACAGAAGTCCTGGCCTCTACCGTCTATCATTTCCCATTGTATTCAGAGCTCTTAGAACCGCGATGGACCCGACAGTGAATTATCTGAATGAATACATTGTGCTTTTTTCATTATGGACTGCTTTTATACATGTATCAGGATACAAATATAAGTATACATATATCTTGTGTGAGTGCCTGAACTGGGCATTTGATCTACGGAGCTCTGATTTATTTATGCAACTATTCCGTCTTTTTCGTGGAAATTGTGTGTTCTTATTGATTTCTGGAAATGAGTTTTGGTGAACATGTACTAGGCCCGCTGTGAGTCATTGTCATGTATGGAAGTTTGCTATTAATAGATTTACATAGATGTGGTTCTAGTGTGATCAGGTACTGGGGCCACTTTATGTAAATCAGCACTGCCACGCAGGATTGTTGTGTCTTCTGTAAGCTGCTGACTTGAAATACTTTTGTGTGCATATATTTTGCAATGTTGATAATCAGAGATAAATTGTGATATACGGAGAGTAAACTGCATTCTCGCGTTTCTTTGTACGGTGTCTCATATTTGTGTGTTTTCACCAGTTTGCTTCTTTCATCTTGACATTACTTAATTCATTTGACTTTCTGCAGAACTGGGGCGGCGCATGTATTTTGATAGTTGAGAGTTTTAACTGTTGCACTTAGAATCTAGAACAAATTAGTTCAATTGTAGAATTGGTGAAATTATTTGTTAAGTTCGTGTGTCTACATCTGCTGGGATACTATCTTTGGCTGTAAATCGTTCTACTCAGTATTTACTAACCAAATTTCAGATAGACTAGTTTACCATCTTTGTGATGGATAAAACTGTGGCAATTAAGAATCTCAAGCAAACAGAAAGCGAAAATGGTCACTGATTACTGATTGATTGTAAATGTTTAACTCCCCCATCAACACAATTTAGATCATTTAGGGGAGTCAGAAATGGCCACTCTGGGGTTGCCAGCATTACAATGGATCCAAGTTTAGTTTTAATTTTTAGAAAAAGTTTTACGGCACTTGCAACACAAATAGGTCATAGACCTTAGTGCTGAAGATTAAGAAGTGTTACTAGTGAGTACAAAGAAAAGAAAAAGAAGAGATAAGGATGACCGAGATGTTCAACTGGGAAAAAAGGAGCAAACCACTCCAGAGCACCCGTTAACTTTCCCCAAATGAGGTCTAGATCTACCGGGGGGGTTTTCAAATGGTATGCCTGAGACAAGTTTGGACTTAAAAACAGAACTTAAGCAGAGTTTCAGGTGTACGCTCTACTCGACTCATTGTTTGTTTTTGTTGTTTTTTTAAAGTAGAGGGTTTTACGGCGCTCACAACTCTCTACAGGACTCATTGTTGGTGATGCTGGAGGAAGGCCCTCCATCAGCCTTCACTGGCCTCAAATTGACTCGGCTCTTCTCATCCTCTCTCTCTTGTCTGCCTGTCTCCATTTTTCTCTTCTTTTTTCACTCCTAGATTCAATGTGCACCTTAAATCTCTACTTTAAAAAATGTTTTCACAAGGACCAAGCTCAATTTAGTTTCATTAAGAATTTGATGGCACTTGGAACACAATTAGATTACTTTACATATGTGCCAATGATTAGATGCCTTACAAGAGAGTAACATACACAAAAAAGAAGGAGAGATAAGGACGACAGATGTTTGACCAAAAAAAGAGGATCAAACCACACCAGTGCACCCACCAACTACCCACATCAAGCTCAGTTCTGGTTCAAGTTAAAAGAAGCATAAGTGGGGAAAAAGAAAGAATGAACAAAGGGAGAGCACTGTAACATAAAAAAGCACAACCCACTGTACGTGGTGCTCTCAATCACAACCCACCCACTTCAAAGACCGAAAACAACTTCCAACATTTGAGAAATCATTGCGAGAAATATTTATTTCCAATGTATTCAAATAGCCAAATCTACAAGCGAGTTGCAGAATGTGTTTATTAAGAAAGACCAAAAAAAGGAACACGCAGCATTCACGCATATATATACTTATTAAATCCTTTCACACAGGCACATGAAAATAGAAAGATATACTGGATTGGCAGAAATTTTTGTTTTGTTCTTTCATTTAAGGTTTCAAATTTCATCTTTTATAACTGTTCTCTACAACATTCTAATATCAATATTGCTTCAATAACACTTTAACCAATTTTACCAACATGACTATAATCTATTACGGCAGTGTTGGCGATATCAGGCTATCGGTGACAGCCTGACCTCTGCTCTCTAACCGTATAACCGTAAACCCACAGAGTTACAACAAAATTCCAGTAAAATCAGATCTAGGCCTACATACAAAACAAATATAAATTTGGAAGCAACACTTTTTTTTTTTAATGTTGACATTTTTACCCATCGACACAACTAAGATCACATTAGAGGCCAGCTTCTGATCCCGCCAGTCGGGGCCAACCTGGGCTGTTAGAAGGATTCCAGCAGAAAGACGGAGATCCTCAATAAAAATTTCACCCCAATTGGGAATCGAACTTGGGTGTCCTGTGAAAATAGCAAATTCAGGTCTCCTGTGTGTGACAGAGAAGTGCCTAGCTGCGAGACCATGGTAAACAACATTTCAAAATAAATAGGAACGAATCATATGACAAAACAAAGCTAGATGCCTTTACAGTACATCTTTCAACTCATTTACATCGCATACGAAAACCTGGAGGCACATGTTTGCATAGTCTCCACTACCTAGGACATTACAAATCGATTCAGACTAGGGCAAAACAAACAAAATCTCATCTTTATACAATTTGCACGACAATCCCTGCGATTCAACACAAGTGGGGGAAACACACACACCCAAATTTTAAAAAACAATTTTTTAAAAACCAAATTAATCCACGGAAGATCTTTTTTTCTCAGAAATCCATACTTGTGGTTATTTTTAATAGACTACGAAAACAGATGGCCATGTCAAATTTGTCACCGACAATCATGAATACTATCACATGAATAGTTTTGAAATTGCTCTTAGTATTTTTAGAGCGTGAAAATGAAGAAAGGCCAAGAAAAAAATTGCAACAGACAGAAATTTTAGGATGGCTTACACTACACTTACTAAAAAAACAACAACAAAAAACCCTTAAGTTTTGCTTTCCAAATCGTTCATATTTCTATAAACTGAAGAATTCTTGAGTGTTTATAATAAGATAATTGTAGCACGACACTTCATCACTACCCCCAGGGAGGGAGCTATGTGAGCATATTCTAACACGCGCTATCCTTCAAAAAGAAAATGGACGTCTTCAGGACTAGTGTTGGGGTGAAAACAAAAAACAAAAAAACAACAAAAGCGTCTAACAAACTGCAATATATTTTTAAACCTAAAAACATCTGTCACTGGTGGTACGACCATGAAATGTGATGTGGGAATCAATGTGAAGAGCTAAATAATAAAAAATCAATATTCTAAGGGGGGGGGGGGGGGAGATTTTGTTGAAAATTTAGCATATTCTGTGGTAAGTCCAAGATCAGAACCATTCCAGGGTACAAAAGAATAAGATAAAAATGGAATATTGCAGATTTTTCTTCAAGAAGATGAAAAAGAATTTAGCCTTTACCAGCAGCCAAAATCATAAAACCAGCAGAATATTTCAACTGAACATTTTAAGTATAGGATAAGTTGTAAATACAAGAAGGGGAGGGGGGGAGGAGGATTATCGATGATAATACAGAAACCAAGGCACTTCAACCACACAGTACTCTCACAAGATTCATGACTTGATATTTACCGAAAACAAACATAATCCAAACATCACACACAATAGAAAATCTTGTCGAAAAACAAACAAATCCAAGACAGAATCAACCACGAGAGAAAAATTAAACTTTTTAAGTCATCATCAACTCTCAAGGGTGAGGAG